AGATGATGCCCGTGGTTTGCCTACTGCTCCTTGTCCGTTTGCTTGTCGCACCGTCATCTTAGTAATCCGCTACGAAGTATAATCTCCAATCTGTTCACTTAGGCACCGATCTGTTCTGCCAAGTTAACTCATTCCGTAGCTACAAATGAATTGCTAAATGCAGTGACATGTGGCGGAGACCGGTTCAGTAGGTTTGACTGGAGGCATTTGCAGCTATCTGGTTTTCCAAATAGGACAGTTTAGCAGTTGGAATGTACGACGAATAGCTGTGTTCACCGATCGTTCAAGTTGCGGCGTCAAGGCATAACCTTTACTATGTAAGTAGACGGGTATTTCGGACACAGTAATTATCCCTGGTTTATTTTTCCCAAACGGAAGGGTCTCCACCATCTTACGTCGCTTGCGAACTGCTATCACTCAGGCATTTAGATCGTGCTCCTCAGTCGCGAGAGTATAAACTAAACCGCATCCTTCAGAACACACGTACCGGTGAACTCAAAAGGGGAGATATCGCAAAAGGTTTAAAACATCAAGTGCTCTGTCTAAACTGCTACGGAGCGCCTCACAACTATATCGTTCACATTGTGATCGAATGGTAAATTACTCATTGAAGAATGCCTCTGTATCTCTCCTCTGCTGTTCCAGCGCATGCTGTTGTGGAATCCCCAACAAGCGCATGACCAGCCACAGGTCAGACATAGGGAAGCGCTTGTGATGAAACGAGTTAGTGCACGTATATCATCCATGAATATTGCATATTCGTACTCTTCTTTACCCAAAACTGCTTGCTGATGCGTGATCCCCTACGGTATGTGGACTTGGTCACAATCCCATATCTTTACAAACGCCTCGCCATTTGCGTCCCCAGAGGATTCGCCCACACCATCCGCAGAAAGAAAGAAAAGAAAGACATCAGCAGTACGCCGGCACGCAGTACCGACGCTTCGCTGCCACGCAGTCACCAACAGTCGCGCGCGAGGGTGGCCCAGTCCCTACGCAGACTCGAACTTGCGCCTTCAGATTACAAGGCAGGGTTGTGATCCTTTAGGATACAGGCCAGCTATTGTTGGTTTAAATGCAGTTTTCTCATCCGAGCTTTTTGTTGGTCAAATGCTGTACTGACTCTACCAAGCACTCGTTAGGGAGGTAGGAGACATGGTAGTATACAAGGACTGATGTACTGTTGATTTCTTCCTGCCTTTCCTATGATCGTCTGTTATTCGTAGTTTTCGGCTTGTGGACACGCTTTGCTTTTCGCTTACCTGCGGATTTCTTCTTTTACCCAATGCTTGCTATTTCTTGCTGTGACCTCCCATTCTTCGATGATCCTAATAGTGTACCAACTTTTTGGTATGATATAACTGATCATTTTAGCTTGTCGCATTTTCCATTATTTTCTCAGTGTTTTCCGCAAACCGTTACACACCTCTCGTCCGGAACTCGTTCATTGTCGACGCACGGTGCGACACGATAGCTGTGTTTTCCACCTCAAGCTAACCTGTATAATAATGTTCGTGGCACAATTGCTATCCATTGTACCACAAGGGCCGGTTTGCACGCGTTTTTATCGTCTCTTATTCCATCTTGATCTGAATTGGCTGTGCTTCAGCTATGGATACCACTCACTTCCTGACTTGTATCGATTTGATGGTTCTTCTCACGCTGTCACGTTCTGAGCCTTTCGCGCTACATGCGCCTCACGTGGTTCCAACTTGTCCTGACATTTTCGTGTAATCACGTGTTCGTGTGAGACCTCCAATGCGGAATCACTGAGACGCTGCAGCTCACACTCAGGCATACGAATTCGCCCCAGTAAACCTCGCTATGCCGTTTTGTGACGCAATATTGGTGTATTCGGCGAATGCTGTTAAACAGAACACTTCCTTCTGTGTGCTTTCTGCAATTGATTTGTGCCTGTTTATATCGGACCCTATCTCCATTTCTAAACGCTTATTGGTAATAATAACAGTAATGTTGGTGTGTTTCTCGGCCCAGTTTTATGGATCGGTGGATATCACTTAACAGCTGATCAACATTAGATGCATATCATGTCTACATCCTCTTCTGGCGTTTAGCGGGAATGTGGCGCGGTGGAAAGCAGGGGGTTGAATTGGTTACACTACACCTTTATCAGAGTTTTCGCCTATCATTTTCTACTTGGAATGTTCACTGTGAGACTAGGATCTGCTAATTGATGCTATTAGAGAATCGCGACCAAAACCACTCGAATGTCGTCCTGCGTTAGTTCTGCGGAACTCCCACAGTTCAACGAAACCCACATCATTCATCTGAGCTCACAACTATGCTGTCACCATGCGGCTACTCAAATTGCCCGAATAGCAACTGAACTCTACTCCTCGAGATCGCTATTATGAGCCAATGCAAACTGCATGTAATCCACCCAAGCCAGGGGTGTCCAAACTTTTTGCAGGGTGAGTCACATTTTGTGGGTTAATATATGTTTGGCCTTATACAGTCTAACATTAAGCTCATAAGAAAAATTACGCATGTACCAAAAAGCCCGCCTGTATATATTTTTTCATGATGAAGCCGCGGGCCGGACTTTTGGACATTCTTAACCTAAGCTCTCCTCAGTTACACTGCTGTATCCACCGTCTCAAACCGCAGTGACACAACAGAGCTTTCCCCAGAGCACTACTTGGCAACTTATGTTCCTCGTGAACATTTACCTCCCCATATAGTTAATGTATTCCGATGCTATACTCTGAAGCTATAAATGCAAATGTGTAGAACGCATGCTTTGCCTTTGGCTGACTCAGAAAACGAACTCCCGCTATCGGCCAGTCTTTTTTTCCTGGGTATCGGCGAAGTCGTGCGTGGTTACACGTGTCCTCTCCAGTCTTACGGCACGTTTGCAACTTTTGATGGCTAATTCCCTTAAATCAATCATATTCCACTTGGCTGCTCTTTACGTTTGGTCCTATTGGTGAACATCGTTTCGTCTGTTCCGACTAGAAGTCGAAGCAACTAAGACTTATTATGGCAGTTTGGACTTCTGTGCTTCAGATAATTGCGATCTGATCACAAGTCACTTAGTGTTGGCCCAATGCGCAGTTACTGGCTGATAATCAGTTTGCAATGCCATGACGATAACAAAAATCATAAAGCGGCATCGGCCTATTTTAGCTTATGATTTATCCCCGAAGAAGACATCAAAACCGACAGTGTGCTTAGCAAACGGACTTGTTTTTTCTGGTTTTCCATCAAATTGTTACATAAATATAGGTAGGGCTGAGACTTTCACAAGATATTTAACTACATTGAGTCCGAAGAACAAATTGCTGGATCAGTTAGGCTATCTGGCCTTATCATCGGTCAACTCTGAGCGTAATCCCATACGCTATACGTGGCGTACTGCGATCAGAACTAGCAGATTGCCTAGGGCCAGCTGCTTTTATACACGGAAATCAGATTTATTAAGCCGGATAGCAAGCACCTCTGGTGTCGCTAACAAAGGCCACATAATTGCTCGTGTGGAGCATCCAACTACCCGGTTGATGGACTGGAAGGTCTCATGTGTACTGACTTGACAATCGAAGTACATCAGCTGCTGTGGTGGAACCGCGCTCATTATTGCTTTCCCCACATCATGGTAGTATTTTCGAGCAGTTTTATGGTGACTTCCGGTTTAACTTATTCTACACAATAAAGAAAACATTGATCACTGTATTTCGTACTCTGGTTGCTTGTTCACCATTCATGTTGCCATGTAGCTCACATGCAATTTATCCACGTACTCACGATGGCATCGGCCAAACTTTAGGTGGTTAGCCATTGCTTTGCTATTAAAATTCATGAACGAACAGAGTAACCGCTTTTCTGTGGACATGTATAAACTTTTGCACCTGAATCTCCATCTATCTCCAGAGCATTTATCAGAGTGCCATTTTATTAGAACCTACCGTATATGTAATACGTTTCGTTCGAAAGGGCTTCTTCCAGCACTTCTCTCTCTCTTCGCTTGGTAACAGACGAGGTTTTTTTGCTTTGTTATTTATTGGAACGAAACTGGTTGCTTTCTCAGGTGATCGCCTTTTTATTGACTCATTCGGTCCTGACAATCTCCATTACCTTATCAAACGTCTTTTTGTGCAACGTTGAATTAGACTAGCACATCCTTAACACAAACTGCTATCTACGGCATGGAATATGTCGCATTCATATCGCCATACTACACCAGGTTGCAGATATATCCATTTAACTAGTTCTTCTCCAGCTTAGTTATAGGAACGTCTGAACGAAATGGTCCCAGTGTTGGGCCCATCTCCACTGTCTAGTTACCGCAAATGCTAAGATTTTCAATTACACCGGGATACGCTTGGTGCGTAGCGAATGTAACTTTTTTGATGGATCACTAAGGATGTTAACCTTGTTGCAGTGCAGTTTGGTAAAGTTCGCTTAAACGGGACCATAATGACCAACCCTAATGTTCTACGCCAAGGGCTGTAAGGTGGCTTCTTTGTCTTGTGTTACCTGCACGGCTTTTCCCAAGGTTCCCTTGTCTGGCACTTCCTTTCCATTGTCAAGTTTGGCAACTAACTACACCTTTGCTCGGTTTTGTGGCATTTTCGCTAACACCGCGAGTTCGAACCTTGCTATATACGCTCACTGTAGGCTATTAATCCATCCTAGCTGGTCTTTTGATCGATGCGGTTCGCTAGTATATTTCCACTGTCCCTCTGCTATTCTCTTTCTTCACAGCTTTGTTATGAATACACAAACTGATTATTGTTATCACTCGCCTTTACTGTTTGTTTGTTTTGTGGATGAGGATCTTGGGATAGCCACTCCGGCATCCCTTCGCTCTATAGCCCCACCTCATCAGTCGGTGTCCAACAATCACTTCACACTGGGTGGCAGCGGCTCACTGCTTCTGACAAACGGTTGTCCTCAGTTGATGTTGGTTTCTGTTTATTCTCTTACCCTGTCTTTGCGACCCTATTATGCGGATCTTATCTTATCTCCCCTCCTCACCACAGGCTACTATTTTATCTGTCGATCGCTTTATGGTGATGTTCTTGTTCATCGTTGCTGTGATGTTCGGACTTTGCCAACTTGCTCTTGGTGGCTATCACTGCTATCTGGTTGGCCGGAATCAAACCACTTTAGGTGAGCGTTGTATTTGCCACTGTTGCTTCTTTTTCATAATGATGTCAGTTCTGCTTTTTTTGATGTAGTGCTTTTTACTACTTACGAGGTAATTGACATTAACTGATCTAATGTAAGTCATCTGATGATGGCAGATCTCCCTATATTGCTTTACTCTCATCATCATCATCATCATACACGTTAGCTAGAGGTGGGGAACACCTCAGCTACTGTGTCGCAATACAAAGAAAAAAGGAGAGAAAAATAAAACAACTGGTGAAAGCTGGCTGAGCTACCGGTAACGGATGGGCATCGTTCCGGTAAGTTACCAGACGGCTACTGTGCACCCAAAAAAATTATTATGCAAAATTATATAAGGCTAAGTAATGAGATCGTGGTTGGAGGGGGAGGCTAAGAGGGATGGGGTGGGACAAAGAAACTCACAGCACGAACGCCACTGAGGTCGGCTCCTAGCCATATCAGCAAGTGTGTCCAACCAAACGTGTTCATCGTCTTTCGGACCCCAACCAGGGAGCCGAGACGCTCCAACCGAGGCCAGCTCACAAGTGAGGGCCTTCATTCCTCTCGACCAATTCATCGCTTGGCCACCCCTCCTCTTCTTCCATCCACACACCCGGCGCGCAAACAACACACGTCGCGGAAGTCGGTGGGCTGGCATGCGTAACACGTGGCCGAGCCATCGGGGCCTGATGCGTGAAATAACGGTGCTGATCGGTTTCTTTCCTTTTCCTGTGCCATAAACAAGGCGTCGAACACGCTCGTTGCTCACGCGGTGTTCCCACCAAACGTGAGCTAAATTACGAAGGCACCGGTGGTTGAACGTAACTAGCCTCTTCAGGTCCGCTGCTTTAAGCGGCCAGGTTTCACAACCGTATAATAGGGTCGAACGTACTGCTGCATTGTACACTCTACCCTTCAAGGCAAGAGTGATGTCGCGCCGGTGCCATAAGTGGCGAAGGTTAGCAAAAGCGCCCCGAGCTTTTGCCATACAACTCGTGATTTCATCTTCAGTCCCTCGGGTGCTGATACAACTTCCCAGGTAGTTGAATTTTTAAACGATTTCTTGCTGATCCCCACCAAGGGTCAGCGTAGGAGGCGGTCCAGACCAATCTTGGAGAAACGCTTTGCACTTCGAGGGTGCGAAGCAAAGCCCGAAGTGACATTGGCAGTAACAAATTACTAGCCTCCGTACCAGCCTCCCAGTTTATTGCCTTGCGGGAATCTCTGCTCAGAAGAGCAGGCGGGTTTCAGAATGGATCCTGCTTTTGCTATAAGGCAACTGCTAGGGTGGTACCGCACGTAGCCCAGTCTATGATTGTACCTCTTATGTCAGAGAGTACTTCAGCTGAGTTCCCTTCGATTCCATTGACCGGAACGATTATTCTATTAAAAATGTGATCGGTTTATACGCCACATAGTCGAACACTATAGGTCGCATCAGGGTCTACAGCGAATCATTGGATGCCTACGTCAACGCATGTTATTTTCGCATTTCTCTTCCATTTTATGGTCAACTCTATCGCGGCTAGACCATTGATGTATTTTCCTGGGGCTAACTGACCAACTTTGTTTGTGTAAATCACATCATCATGCTGCTGACTAACTGAAAAGCCCTGGATGAACTTTCCGGAACACCTCATCATGTGTGGCGCAGCTTCAACGTGCGAATTTCTGTCACATGACCACCATCTATTTATAAATAGATAAATAAAGAAATGGATATATCGGAATATGCCTGGAACCGACTGGGATCTCATAGTTTCTGATGGTTTCGAACACAAATCGGTTTTTTATAGATTTTTATTATGGCAGTCTTTCGTTCTTGATGCAAGAGGTTCCTCAGGGTATGTTTTCCGTCGGACTGAATACGCTCTCTTTTGTGGAACGATCATTTGTACAGCAAATTCCACCAGTATTTGGTCCATGAAATTTTGCTCAATATAGGTCAGTAATGCAATGCTTTTCGAATGTGCAATAAGTAGCAGATAGTGGAAGTCTAGTTTTGTGATATATTTTTAGGGCTGGATTCCGGCATTGGGTTTGTAGGTTACGGGTGGCCGGAAAAGTTGACCACATTTGGCATGGAAAAAAGATTTTTCTATGGGATCTAAGTGTAGATAAGCTTTTGCCGGTCTTTAATTGCAATGGTAGCTTGTTCCGCAGGGGCGTACCTCACCACGAATAAATGTAAACCAATATTTGGGTTGCTCTTCTGTAAGGATAGCAGACACTTCCCATTACGACTAAGACGTGTTGAACCATTTTGTAAAGCGGTAGCCTTACTGGTTCAGAATACTCGCAAATGTACTGTACTTTAGGGAAGAGTGAGACTGCTATTCAGTCGTTTAAACCCTAGTGGATCAAGTTGGAGGTAGGCGTCGGTGACCTCTCCTTGATGAGTTTGGTAAATGAGAGCTAGACGTTTTCCAGAACAAATCTGCATGTCTTATTGTTTATTCACTGGGGACGATGCACTGGAGATAATTGCTCAATTCACCCATTTTGGCAGCTGCATTAGTAGTGGCGGGTAGATCATCGCTGTCACATTGATCCACGCGTTAGGGAGTTCAGGACTGCCATATCTTTGGCCCCAGGAAAGCTCTTAGGTCCCCCTGTTCACAGTGTCACTCGCGAAGTAATCCCAATCTATTATAATGTGACGTTCTTTTGTTCCGATGACATGAAGTGCCTTCATTTCTTTGGTCGGGGTTGTCTGCGGAGCATCGCTGGTGTCGCACAAACATGCTGCATCCGTTTATCTCTAACCTACCGAGGAACTTTTGTTTTGTTTCTTGGATTTACGATGGAAGCAGTTGTTGATCTGTCATTGTAAATCAACTTTTCCGACAATTCTTATCTCGTGCTCGAAGCTGCAGTCCATGTGACCCAGTCCGTTTTGGACCTCATCCCTTTCAGGACGTCGTTCACAACTGACATAAATTTAATATTTGCTTGCGGTGGGATAAGGTAGGACACCGAAAGGCGAAAACTGTAGTGCTTTGTTGCTCTGGTATCGTGTATCATTGTTCGACCGTCTACCGCATGATTTGCCGACCGGTAGCCTAAAGGTAACGAGGTTGTCTTGTAATCTGGTGGCGCCGGTTCCGACGTGTGTAGGGGCAGGGCGACCCTCGCACTATCCTTAGCCCACGTGCGACCGGTGATGGTTACGCAGCAGCGAAGAACCGATACTGCGTACCGGCGTACTGCTGATGCCTTTTTTCACCTTATGATTCAACGAGATGTGACACCACCCTCCCTAACGTTTGTTTGTGGCGCTTATCCCTACTGGTACTTCTTATTAGAACAATTACCCTTTTTATTGGAGTGCAACGTCCGTGCAAACTATCTGTGCTGTCTTTGGTTAGCTCGATTTGTAACTCAGCTCTTTTCGGATTTTCTAAAACTTCTCTGCTTCTTTGCTTTGACCTCCGATCACTTCATTCTGCCTTGCCCCCGTCTGGTTAGTGCAAGCGTCCATTCGTCATTGTGGGTGGCCTCAGCCCTTTTCCACCCCGTTGAAGGTCAACTGAGAACGATGCTTATGATTGTCCGTCTCTTGCCAGCACAAGATATCATCACGTTGTGGGGTCTGCTCCATCCACACACACCGATGATATTTGCATACGTTGTTGATTAGATTCCTTGTATCAGATAACCGGGATGTTATTTTGTGAGCTATTTTCTTGAATACGAAGGATGCCACTCCCAAGCGGAAGCAATCTGATCACCAGAATTCATACACAGCTTGGCCTGTATTCCGATATTAAAGATGGACAGTTCAATCAGGGCGCTTACTGTTTCTCCAATTCATCGGCGTTCTGTCTACCAACTGACATTCTCTTTTTGTTCAATGCTCCGAATCTGTGTACAGAACCCCGATCATCGAAATATTCTAACTTGTGACAACGAAAGGTTCGTTGTAAAGAAACTATTAGAACGCTCGTATCTGTAAGCTACAGAATTTTTAAAATCGTTTATAGATTTTTTGCAGAAGAAAAGTGTTCAAAATGCTAGTCAATAACGCGATTCATCCTAAACATATAATCTGATGTAAATATCAACTCAACATTTTGGTTACTCATGACATATGCACAAAGCCATGCGCATAACAGACATTAATCGGGCAAGAATTTGCTTTATAGCTTTTTCGTCGACAAAACTTTTGGTGCAATCTTGTTTACTACCCCAACACCAGTCTCCTCCCATGCATTTGTCCCGTCGTTCCCGACAGCGTTCTTCCGTCATCATCGTCATCAAATTCTGATGAAAAGTTCCCTTGTTCGTCATTGACCGTCCCGATATTTGCGAGGAATTGATAAAGATAACCGCTCAATAGATGTAATTTAAACTTCAGTGACTGCAAAATTCCCATTTAATTAACAAGCACGAAGGACCAAAGGTAAACAATCGTTTTCGATGAATTCATCTTCCGACCTTTACAGTCATAAAAGTACAATAGAAATGGGCGTAACAGTGGTTTCGATCAGTTCTACTGGAATTTGATCACGTACCGACCATTGTGATAGGATTGTCCGAGCAAGCGGTTAGCGTGCCGCAAGCGAACAGAACAGTTGATTGGACGCCTGCGCATATTTCGGCTACGCGCTGATACGTTCGCTGGTGCGGGTTTGTATAACTGATTCCAAGGAAGAATCTCATGAGTGCAGCAGCGTCGTTAAGTATGGAAGTGACTTAGTTATTTATGTCGTGGTTCCTACATGCTTGTCAGGCTGTCATTTTTGCTGAGCTCGCTTTGTCGAATAAACCGTCTGTCCGTGAAACCGAGTTCTGCGACATAGTTCCAGAGAAAACCAATCTAAGCTCACCCAATGGTGCTCAGTTCCAGATTGGAGCGCAACCGTTTGCCTCACTAAACTTAGAAGAACAGCATTTGGCGAATCTGGAAAAGCAATTGGGTCGGTTTTTGTGTACTGATGCTGCTGAAGGAACAGCCGGTTTCGTATCGATTGCCGATGTTAAGGCATACGATCCGAAAT